TCTTCATAGAACGGACTTACTGAAATAAAAGAAATTCAAAATTAGTTCAATTTGTTTTTAAATTAATTGAAAATTTTAAATACAATTTAATAAGTCTAATTTCTCTAAAAAATCAAAAAGTATTGTTGACTTACCCTTTAATCCGGATCCTTGTAGCACGATTGTTTTCTTCATTACCCCCATTGGCACCCACTAATCACTCGAAATTTTAAAAATCGCGCACTACTAAATGTCTATTAGACACTCGAAACAACACAAGACACCCCCATTTCAATACGATTTCGCACAGAACCACCAAATAATAAGACAAGTGATTCGTAGGAGAGCTCAGCTAAGACTGACTCGTTATTGTAATAATTTTCTCGAAAACGGCACAAAAACTATTTCGTAACAGTTCCGGTGTAAAAAGCCTTTGTTCGAATATAGGGTGTTTCACAAAATTTTGCGAGGCCTACGCCTGAAAGATGCAGTCAATAATACATATTCCGATACGAACTCGATTACAAATTTTGGAAAATTGGATAATCTTCTCTAGTTTGTTCTGTTCTGTGACTTTTGTATATTTGGGTGCGTATATTAGGCGCAAGCCTCGCAAAGTTATGTGAAACACCCTGTATTACCAAATTCTACGTCATCATTTTTTCCGTCCTTTMCACTTGTTTACACAACAAAGGGATTTTTAGTCGTACAAATACACATTTTTTTCTAACGTGACGTCACGGAATTTAACCCAATCAAATCTTTCAAATTTCTGAAATTCAACCAATCAGATTCAAATTACGCGATAATGTCTGGGTAAGTTTACGTTATCTTGTGTATGACTTACTGTAATTCATCAACAATGTTAATAAACACCAATTTTTGTGTGAATTATTGTTTTTATAACTTTATAATCGCTGTCAATTTGTGATGCTATTCTGTATGTATCTTTCCTGTTAAAATTTTAAATACCCCCTTTATTTTTCACCTTTAAATGCTTAATTTTTAAAGGGTACTTTGTGGGTAGTATTTATAGAATTTATCAGCGTCAATTACGAGATACCACAAATCTATTTATGTACTTTGAATGATGCTTTTATTTTGTTTAAATAAATTTTGTTTTTAAGATTTAGTCAATGCCGGTTATGCAAAGAGCACAACGAAATACTAGAATACCAGTGCACCTTAGAGTTTTAAGTGCATTGTACTTTTTTGGGCATGATAGTTACCTTACTTGAATAGGACATAGTTACTCGATGTCACAGAGCTAGCCTAATTTAAGTAGGAATATTAATGAGGTGACCAATGCAATTATTTAAGGATTAATTAATATTTGGATAAAATTCCTGTTAATGAAGTTGCGATTGTAATTATTGACTGTGCACATATTAAAATAATTTTTCCCCCAGAAGAACATCCTTTATATCCAGGTCAACCATATTATTGTAGCAAAGAATATTACTGGCCAAGGATTCCAAACATTTTTCGTTTTCGATTTCTTGCTATGTCTGCAAACTGAGGTCAACAATTCTCTTTTTTTTTGTCTTTTCTGAATTTTCTTATTTTGGATTCTTTAGAATGAGTTTGATCTATAATGTGCATACCTAATGTGTACCTCTTTCTGGGCTTTCGTCATTTGTGCCAATCTTTCTCTAAGAATTTTGAACGTTTTTTACGGAAAATGACAAATGAAACTGGCTTGACATTTTTTCGTAGTCGGCTCATCATTTAAAACCAGCAAAAATAGTTCATTTATAACAAAATAATAGCATTTCCTCTATTTAATACGATGAAAGCCGAATATTTTAAAGGGTCCGTTTAAAAAATATATTTTTAAATACAGAATAGCTTATTTAAATTTGGGGGTTTAAATATTTAAATTTAAAGGTACCTTTATTTTTTAATAAGTATTTACAGAATAGACCCTAATGTGAAATATATATTTTTTCAGATTGCATGAATTCGATGAACAGATCAAAGCTGTCCGTGACGGCATGTCCAAAGTGGTTCCCGTCCCTCTCCTGTCACTCTTCAGCGGCTACGAACTCGAAACTATGGTTTGTGGTTCCCCCGACATACCTTTGAACCTTTTAAAGTCCGTCGCAACATACAAAGGTCACCAAACCCCTCCCTTTACTCGCAAAAATACAGTGTGAAATTGCAGGCATCGACAGCAGTGCCCCCCTAATCCAGTGGTTCTGGGAAGTAATGGAAGAGTTCACAAATCAGGAACGCTCTCTATTCCTCCGATTCGTATGGGGGCGCACACGCCTACCTCGTACAATTGCTGATTTTCGAGGTCGAGACTTTGTTATACAAATTTTGGATAAATACAACCCACCTGATCACTTTTTACCCGAGAGTTACACTTGCTTTTTCTTGCTTAAAATGCCTCGCTATTCGTGCAAGGTGAGCGAACGTAGCGAGTGCCTTAAACTTTGTTTTTCTATTCAATTGGTGATTTTAGCACGTTTTGCAACAAAAATTGAAATATGCCATACATTTCTGCAAGTCGATTGATAAGGATGAGTATGCCAGGGTGGCCATGGCTGGGGATCTTGCAGTGAGTTCCAGCTCGGATGCGGAAAGTGACCCGGAAATGGATAGCAGTAATTGACCCGTCCATTGATTTTTTACGTTCAGTGTGTAGTTTACTCAGTTTATGAATTATTTAGTGAGTGTTTTAGGACTTTTTGGTGGAATTGTGCTTCGGCGCTTGATGTGCACTGAGCTTACGCTTGCAGACGAAATGTTCTCAGAGTTTATTACACATTCCATCGACTGATTTACATTTAGGCTAAACTTAATCATTTCTGATAATGTCAATTCGTAAAATTAAATTTTTACACCGTTTTACTATGTGTGGATTGTATGAATGTCGCATCGCAGTTTCACATTGTTATTTTTTTTTGTAGATAATTGGTAGTATCTAGTCGCTGAAATTTAGTTGAGACATTTATTAATAAATTATAAACGTCAATTGATTTTAACCCGAGAATTGAGACTCCTGTGAAATAAACTGTCAGCATTATGGCTAACGAGTTTGAGCCCTATGATGACCCATCCTTGAAAGGCTTTTCCCGTTATTTCAATAACAAAACGATTAAAGGACGTGCAAATGTAAGCTTCCAGTTTCATAAGTCAGTCCTAAATTTTTATTTAAGGTGGCAATTGCGACATTTGCGTCAATATTTGCGTTCTTTGTTTACAAAAAAGCCTGCACGTGCGTTGAAAAATGAAACTTAAATGTGGCGCCTTTTTCGCCTCATGTTGGCTCTCCTGCGAAATTCCTTATGTAATCATGTGCTTCTAAAATACACCTTTGAAAAATATTTCCATCTTCTTCTTACTCACCTAGTTTCAGTTTTAGACAAGGATAAATGCCATAGTGGGTGTATTTAGATTTGCGTCAGCGGTTATCTCAACTCGCTCGAAGTAATTACGATTTTCTCTCAAAAAAATCGTTAGTTTGATGAGTTTTTGTGATTTTTAACTGTGAAACTGCTTATTTATTTGTAGGAAATGGCTGGCGGCGGTGAAGAAGCAGAAGCAGCGAAACTTACGGGAATTAGCAAAATTTTCAATGGTCAAACATTAAGAGGACGGGCAAATGTGAGTTTACATTATGTAATAGGTCAAATTCTTGCTTATTATTCTATTTACGAATACAAAAATCACGGAAAAATTATTTGTCAAATTCGGATTAACATAACCTCAAAGAAAAAATTTGGTAGCCGCGTTGGCCAAGAAAATTTCGCATCTAAGTCGGGTTAAGAACCCGAAAGAAAACAAAATTAAAGTTCAAGTTCTTGTTTATATTCAATTTCCGATTACAAAAATCACATAGAAATTATTTTTACGTTTATGCAATCGGTTTCAATCTCTAAAATTTAGTTACCACCTTGGCCAAGAAAATTTACTTAACCCTGAAAGGAGAAATTAAAGAGTTTTATTGATTTTTAATTATTGTTACAGGTCGCCATGGCCACTTACGCTTCAGTAGGACTCTTAATTGCGTACCTTTCTTTAAAACCAAAGAAAGCAAAGAAGTAAATTAAAGTAGAGTTATTAATGGTAAATAAACTAGACCACTAAAGTAATTTTTTATTTAAATTCCTGACGCAACATTTCATAAACCTGAACCAAACGTTTTATCCCAGATAATATATTGTTCTAGATCTTTAGGGGAAACACTCGATTTAACTCTAGCGAAAGCTTTGTGAAAGTCGTCCATTGTTAAAGGGCGAACCTATAATTAATCAATAATTAATAATATTTGTTATATTATATTACCTCATCAGCTTGGATTTTTTCAATCATCCTCATATCAATCGACCTAATGGGGCCCAGGGACGCCTCCGAGCACAAATTTCTTATGTCAGCCCCTGAGTATCCCTCTGACAACTGCGCAACTCTAGCAAGATCATCCCTGTCTAGATCATGTCGTTCTTTTGAGATTAATCTAGTGACCAATTGTAGACGCGCCTACTTGAGAAAAATCAAATTTTTGTATATTTAACTGATTAATTTACCTCATTTTCGGGTAAGGGTATATACAACCGTTTCACAAACCTCCTCCTTGCCGCCTCGTCGAGCTCCTGGGGCCGATTCGTGGCCCCAATCACCAACAACCGTTCCTCACTGTCAGTAGTGGCGCCATCTAGCTGTACCAAAAACTCAGTTTTGATCCTCCTCGAACTCTCATGCTCAGTTTCGTTCCTCTGAGTCAACAACGAGTCAATTTCATCGATGAAAATAACAGAAGGTTGGTGACACCTCGCGACTGCGAACAACGCCCTCACCATTTTCTCCCCATCCCCTACCCATTTTGAGGTCAACGAGGAGGCGCTGATGCTGAAAAAGGTCGATTTGCTTTGGGACGCCACGCATTTCCCGATCAGAGTCTTGCCAGTGCCGGGGGGCCCGAACAGGAGGATGCCTTTTGGGGGGCGCCGCAGCCCGGTGAAGATGTCAGGACGCAGCATGGGCCACACTACGGCCTCCTGGATGGCGGTTTTGGCGAATTCGAGGCCGGCGATGTCGCCCCATTCGACCGTTGTGCCAATGTCCATTATTTCGGATTTGATCAATTCGACCATTTTTGGGTCGATGTTCTTCAAACGGTCGTCGACTTCCGGTTTGGGCTCCTCAACCGGGCGGTTGATTAGCAAAGGGGGCACGAATTTGTTGTTGTTGTTTCTACTGAGGCCAAGTTTGCGTTTTTGGCCCCCGGAGCCCCATTTTCTCGAATTTTGACTGTGGAATTCGTCAGTGGCGGTTTTGAAGGAGGTTTTGGGTAATTCCTCGGAACAAGCACGGGGGAGGTGATGCGGGGCGAAAGACTTGGCTGTTTTTTGGTGTTCGAAGACCGGCTTTTGGGGCTTTTTGCGAAAACACTCTTTGAAACTGTCAAAATCGGACAGATTTTCTGATTTAGGGCTCGATAATAATGACTTGAAATCGATTTTTGATAAATTACTTTCCAGATTAACAGGGTATTGAAAATTGTTGTCTTGAAGGACTTTTTTGATTCGATCACTTCTTTTATTATCTCCATCGACTAGGTCGCTATATTTGTGCAAGTGTTTTTCCAATAAATAACAAACACTTTCGTCATCCAATCTAGAAAAAAATCAATTAAATTAATGAAAAAAAAAATAATTTAACTTACGTTCCCAATGAATGGTTGTACACTTGAGCCAAACATTTCCTTTGAATCGCAGCTGCTTTTTCCCCAGTTTCACTTTTGACAGTTTTTGGGTAATTATTTAAAAAATCCGAAATGTTTTCTTCGCTCATTTTTGAAAACTTAACCTCTAAGTCCTCAAACCACTGTCAATTTTTTGGTTACGCGCCAGTGTAAAACAAAAAATCCCCATAAAGGTTACTAGATTAGAATTCGACAGGACCGTACTGAAACAACTTCGTGTACTGTATAAATATTGTATTAAATATAAAACATTGGCACTAAATAATAATTATTAATCATAATAATGTGTTGATACATTCTAGTGGGCACTTCTTAATTTTATAAACTATACAACTTTTCATTAAATTTCTTACATGACTTAACTTGAATCACTTGAGCCTACCGTGACTATAATGACACACTTGATTGCTAAATTATAAATAAAAATACAACGATAAGATAGAGGCATTAAAACATTCCTAAAAGATCTCAGTTCCTTTTATTAAAAAACAGTTTCGAAATTTTTAAGTCTGCCTTTCCACAGTAAACGGATAATCGTACTCCTTCAAAATTTGTTGCATTGTTTTTGCCCTTATTGTGGGAAACTGAAACTACAACAAAAATTAGTAAAAAAAAATACCACCTCCCAAAAATCATTACCCTATCGGCAGTGCTTGCATTCAAAAATTTCGGATTGACAATAAACGGGACTCCATCTAGATTATTCCCTCCACTTCCGCCCAATGTCCCGGTGGTTGAATTTTGTCGTGGGGTGGGAGCTGGTGGTCTGGGAGCGGGTCGTGACGGCCCCGAAGGATAACCTGGGGGTTTAAGAATTTCATAATCGTGGTCGCCGCCATCGGCACCAATTGATGGGTAAAGGGGCGGCCCATTGCCGGGGAATGGGGGCGCCGGTCGGAGAGGACGCTCGGGGGGAGTGATGTTGCGACCGTTCGAATCGGGGCTGTTTTGGGTGTCTTGCACGTTGCCCATTTTGAAGCACACAGTCACGCCGTTCAGTTCTCTTTAAAAAAAACAACATTTTCTCATTAAGTACTAAGGTATCAAAGGGAATAAACAACTATTTTAATCCCGAGAATGTTGGTCATACCAGAGGCGACCGAAGGGAGCTGAGAGCATTTTCATTAGACAAATTAATTAACGGTGTTTACTCCAGAGTTGCATAAAAAACCTTCCTCCCAACAAGTTAAATGAATAATAACGTAAAAAAAGATAAATTTGTCAAACAATTAAGAGTAAAATTCGGTATTTCATTTATTTTATTCCCGTGGGGATAAACTATCAGATTATTAGTCAAAAACGAGGTAATAAAGGGTCACTTTATTCCCAGTTGGGAGGAAATTTAACAAAACAGCAAATATCAAAGTATTTATGAATTTTATTTATTTTTTTGCTTTAATAATTTTGAAACAAATGCATAGTAATTATAAACCATTAGTGCTTCGGGTTAGTCACTTTAATTAAAAAAAAAAAAACAGTAGGTGCTGTAGAATTTTTATTTATGGTTCGATTTTAAAAATTAAAAAAATAAATTAAATGGATTTTAATATAGAAGAAGCTGACAATTTTTGAACCTTTCTAAATGTCATAGTATATTTTTGGCTATATTCAGCTTTCTAATTTTAAATTGGAATGAAGATATTATTTTTCGTGGTACAGACATGTGCAGTATGTTTCGCTTTTACTAGAAATTATTAAAAGAAAAAAATATCAAAATTAAAAAAAATAATAAAGGGCAATAAAATCTAGTTGCATGGTGTCAAATAAGACAATGCCATCCATTATTGAAATGTCAAAAAGCAGAAAATGAAAGAAAATATTGCCAACATTTTTTCAAGTTTTTAATAAGAGGATCAAAAAGACATCTAATTTAGTGTGATTAATTTTATTTTATTATTATTTATTTATTTTCTCTACTTTTAATAAGATTATTGTTAACGTCATTTTTTTATTGACACCATGCAAATAGATTTTATTAACTTTTATTATTTTTTTTTCAAGTTTGATAATTTTTTAAACAATAATTTTTAATAAAAGTAGAACATATTGCACATGTCTGTACTAAGAAGACTATCTTCCAAATTACGAAAAAAAATATAAATTAGGTCCCTATTGAAAATTAGAAAGATGACATTTACAGTGCGATCAAAAAGTTTGTCTATCAAGCAAGCGTAGAAATTTAAAACGTATGTCTGTGGAAGATAAAATCTCATATTGACAAATGAAAAATGTCAAAATATTTTTTATGTAAATTATGACAGGAAACCGTGGTGAACGATTTTTATGAATAAACAACAAGATCTCATTTTAGTTTGTTGTGAGACGTTTTATAGAATAATTCAATTTAATTAGATCAATGTTTAAATTTTTATAAAATAATTTTTTGACATCTAGATAAGATACGAACTCCATGCAACATACGTCCTCAACTAGGACGCCTACTTGATAGAAAGACTTTTTGATCGCACTGTAGAAAAATTCTAAAATAATAAGCTTATATTGTATTAATTTTTGAAATCGGGCCTTAAATAAATAAAAACGCCTGCAATTTTTATAAAACACCCTCTATAATCCAATTGCATTTTTCTTTATTAAGAAATTTTGTAGCAATTTTTTAGTACAATTTTTTTCACTCACTCGCTTGAATTTCAACCTATTTAGTACATTATTGTTACGTTATTTTATTTTTGTGAAGAATTTTTGACAAAGTTAGGAGAAAATACATGCTGACGACATGTTTCGATACTTATTAAATTATATTTGAATCACTCTGTATAACATATGTCGAGTATCTTATACAGAGTGATTCAAATATAATTTAATAAGTACCGAAACATGTCGCCAGCATGTATTTTCTCCTAACATTGTCAAAAATTCTTCACAAAAATAAAATAACGTAACAATAATGTACTAAAAACCAATTTCAAGGTCTTAACATCAAAAACAAAAGTACTCGAGTGGGAACAAAAATAATTGTTGACTAATTTTTTACAATAAAATAAACAAAGAAATAACGGATTACTTATTGCCTTATTGTCATTATTGCCTTTACATTGATAACACTGTTTCTAAAGGCAGAATTAGTGATATTGGGGCTTCCCACGTTATATTTTTAATCAAAACTTTAAACTATAATATCTGTGGTGATAACACAATGACTCATACTATGCTCGTGATCGGAGATTTAAAAAGAATCAACTTTTTGACCTCAAAAACGATTGCTGTTTTATTTTTCTCAAACAAATCTAATTTAATCACCCAACCGTGACCCCCAAGACTCACCCAGCGAGTTTGAACCCTTCAGGAGCCTTCTTCAATCGACTACAAACAATAATATCAGTAACAGCAACTTTAGTATCTCTTAGATTCACTAATTTATAACACAACTGTTTCTTCTTCCAGGCTTTCTGTTCACTATCTGCAGTTCTATTCAACAAACTGAAACCTCTGGGAGGGTTAAACTTCTCAGTCAGTACAAAAATCTCCTGAATGACGAAATTCGGGAGACCTGTGGGATTTTAAGTTACGTGATTGTGTCACAAGGGGGCTGTTTGTTTGTTACCTTCAGTTTTTGAAACACACAAATATCGGGCTGCACTACTTTTAAAAATTGAGCTTTCTCTCAAATCAGCATCCTGGTCTTGGTCGTAGGTTCTGCTGATTGGGTGAAACCCCTTGGGGCATTTGTCAAGGTTTTCGATCACCTGGAGGGGTTGTAATTTTAGTAGAGTCACTTTTCGGGGGTTTACTCACTTGAATCGCTGTGATGGGTTTATCGTTCGGTAATAACTTCAATATTTTATGTTCTGCAGACGATTTTAACATCGTAGTCAGTCTTTAGAGGTATCACTGAAACAAAACAAAAATAAACTACACATCATCAAAACTGACAATTTGCACCTTCCATTGTGTAAAAATAGTGTTTATACGAACTATTAATAAATTATTATTAAATGTGACGCAATTTCTGATGCTTTTGTGCACTATTCTACTCGATACGTTTGCACCTACCTTCACTCAGAATTTTGACCTTGTCTGAGTTTATTTTGGTTATGGCTGAATTATTCACACATTTTACGTTTGTGCTATTTTCAAGATATGTTTTAAATGTGCTTCAATAATTACTACGTTATCACTTATCTTATCTATGACCGAATTGAACACAAAACAATTGAACACCCGAACAACAAAAATTAAAGAGGCGACTGGATGAAATGAAATTAGTCATTTTATGACCAACCAATCCCAGCTTCTGGTGACTTAATTAGATTGTTAAAAGGGCATGCACCCCCATTTCCGGAGTCTTGACCTCGCAATTACGAGAAATTTCAATTCGCAGCTGATTTTGCGAATTTTTGAACGAAAATTTGCGCTATTTCAATGCAATTAGTTTCGCGCGGTTGGCAACACTGCTATAATGCACGAATTTCAAACTAAAAAATATTATTGATGGGCGTCTATCTAGTTTTCTAAAAACACAAAAGTCGCCTAAATTAGATAGTTTTGCTGTTAGTTTGATAACTAGTGTCTTTGTGACGTTCAGGCTTGCAATTTAAATTTGGTTGGGAAAATAAATTTATTTTCGACTAAAAGTAGTTTTATTCTTGACCTTTTCGAGCGTTTAAACACGTTTTTAAGCAGATTTGCGAGGTTCATGTAAAATTGCAACTTCTTCAGCTCAGCTGATCTGGTTAACTTAATTTTTTTGAATTGGCAACACTGCACAGTGGTGCCAAAATTGAATTTTTTTAAGTTTTTTTATTAGGTTATAATCAAATTCAACGTTAATAGTTTTTCTATAGTAATCAGTTTAAATTGTTCAATTTGTCATGCTTCCTGAAGGAGAAACCCCTTCCTGTTCTACCAACACTGAAGATGCACCAGCTTCAGACAAAACAAAGTATTTTAGGTAATTTTGTGAGGTTATGTCCGACTCTTTTTTGCTCCAGATTGGGCACATGTGAGGTCTGTGCCTGCAAAAACGCCAAGTACTGTTGCCCCCGATGTGAGGTTAAGACATGTTCACTGAATTGTAATAAAATTCACAAACTGGAGGTTGAATGTAGTGGGATTAGAGACAAGGCTAAGTTTATTCCGATTAATAAATTCACAAATTTGGATTTATCGAGCGATTATCGCCTCTTGGAGGAGATTACACGGGTGGTGGAGTCGTCAAAAAAGGGGCGAACGAGTTTGGGATACGATTTTAAGAAGGTTTTTTCCAGTCACCGGAAAAAATAAATAAAAAGTGATTTTTTAGGGGTTGTTGCGTTTGCAACAGGAAGCGTTAAAAAGACACATTACGTTGAAGTATTTACCTAAGAATTTTGTGCGTCATAAGAACAACACCACTTACTTTAATTTTAAGTCACAAGTGATTGAGTGGCATGTTGATTGGGTGTTTGTTAATTGTGAAAACTTGAAAATAAGCGAAAAAGTTCCTGAAAATTTGAGACTTAGTAAAATTCTTGATAAGTATTTAGACAAACAAGACGATGAAGCACTGCAGGAGAAATTACAGTACTATCAAGCTGCAGACTTGCCCGGTATTAGGATTTTATTAAAAGCGGAATTAAAATCAGGCAAAAAATTCTATGAGTTGGATTCAACTTACACATTAAAGGAGTGTTTAAAAAACAGGGTAATAATTGAGTATCCGACTATTCATTTAGTATTAAAAGACCAAGCAAGTTTTTATGATATTGTCGATTCAGGTAATGAAATTTATTTGATTTTTTTGAGTTAACTTTTTTGTATAGATGACGAGGAAGATAGCAAAGCAGAGTTGCAAAAACAGATAAAATCAGGCCAGGAAGTTATCAATAAAATTATTAAGAAATCTGAGAGTGACGATAGTTTGTATGAATCTCTCAGGAATTTGTTGTTTATAAATGAGTATTCAGATGAGGACCAGGGTTCTGATGACGAGACACACTAAAACGAAATGGGTTTATTTAAGAAAAACTAATTTATTTTTCATGGGTAATTGATTGAGAAGGAGTTTTATTTTGTTATTTCATTTTTGTTACAAATAAATCAAATGCATTGAAAGTTTTTGTTGAATCAGAAAAACCACATACTCGGAAAAATAGAAAATGTCGTGTCCATAAACCCACCCTCATTATTTGGGTCTGTTGTTCCCACCTCTTCCTTTCTCGTAGAACAATGGTTTAATCTAGCCCATAATGAGTAGCAACCAAGGAGGTTAGATGATGCTACTTCCTTCTTATGGTCCACCCATCGTTAAATTTAGAAACGATCAAAACTTTTTCTTTCTGCCAGTCGAGGTATTTCGACTTTTCAAATTTAAATGTCAAAGTTGATTAATTACAACACGAAAAATAGGTTTACACAAAAGTTTTGAAAACAAGTGTACGCCACTTGATGGGTTTTTCCCCAGAGATGTTTCTTCACAGAAGCTCACAATTTAAGTTATGCAGGCCCAAATAAAAGTCGATGACAGTTAAGTATACTCGTTTTCATATTAATGTGCATCGAAGTAGTGGTTGAAAGGGATCATTTTAAGGTGGCAACCATGCGAAAATTCAAAGAATTTAAGCGATGCTTAAATGTTGATTTGTGCAAAAAAATTCGTTAAGTAAATGTCACTGGCCCTAAAAAAAGATATTAATTATGTAGAAATTAAAAAACAATTTTACTAAGAAATTGGTACTCAATTTAATTTAACTATTGTTGTTTTAGCATAAACCAGATGTTACAAAATTTTGGTTAATTAATATTTTGATATTTTTGATTTTATTTCTAATAATATTTTTAATTAATTAATTTTAATAATAAGAAAGGGTAGGTAAATTCTAAAAAAATACAGATGTATAGAGAAAAATATAAAGTATTTAAAAGCAAACGCTGATTTCTGAGCGATATAGTAAAAAATACTTTTAGCAGACTTCCTTGTGTAAGAACCTATACCAAAAATATACAGAGTGGAATTTTTAACTGGAATAAAATTTATAATTTGATTATAAGCGATTTTTGTAAAAAATTCTGAAACATGTCGATTTTTATTTTTTCTTGTGCATCATTTGACACATATAGTTTTTGTTTATATGCTTTTGTGAAATGCAGTCACCTATAACTTTTTTTTCAAATATGACAAGTATTTTAAAAGATAAGAAATGCATGTTACTTTTGATTTGCAATTTTGAACATTTTTGCATTAAATTTTTTTATTACGTAAACTTTGAAAATATTCAGAAAACAAATAGTGCGTTATATTGCATGTGACGTGGGCTTTCAAATGAGGTGTCACTTGTCATACCATTACATTTGAAAAAAAAAGTTATAGGTGGCTGTGCATTTCAGAAAGCAGGTAAACAAAAACCGTATGTGTCAAATGATGCGCAAAGAAAAATAAAAATCGACCTAATTCAGGATTTTTTACAAAAATCGCTTATATTCAAATTATGAATTTTTTTCCAGTTAAAAATTCCACTCTGTATGCATGAAATAATAGGGAATATTGTTAGGTTTCCAAGGGCCGAAGAAAGATTTCATCTGTGGCTTGCTCTTATTAACAGAGAAGATGAAAGTTATAAATATACAAGAAATTTATATATTTGTTCTGCACATTTTAAACCAGAGGACATGAGTGTATCTGGTAGTAGAACATGTTTACGCCCTAATGCAGTTCCGTCTATAGACATTGTAAGAGACGTGGCAGAACCAAAGGATGAGCTTTCATCATCAACTGAATTGATTGAGTTTATCAGAGAAAGACTCTTTTCTCCATCTTCCTCTGAAGAGGCAGAAGAAGTACCTGTGCTCAAATAAATGCACACTATTATTCACTATTATTCTTTCTTGTAGGGGGATTAATGTACCCGTCTAGAGGCACATACAGGGTGCGCCAGAACTCGCGCCCCAGAGAAAAATGTCATGTAAGTTAGATACCAGGAACATGGAAAAAATGTTAAAAAAATTCTATCTATAAAAATTTATAATTCTGTTTAATGTTAATTGTAGCTTTTATCGACAAAATTTTTGTACTTTTACTACATAATTATAAAAAAAACATATATAAGATCTTCAGAATCATTAAATAAACATAAAAAATTTCAAATGTTAAAATTTCTTGACAGATAGAATTTTTTTAACATTTTTTCCATGTTTCTGGTATCTTATCTTAATCAAATTTTTCTCTGGGGCGCGAGTTCTGGCACACCCATGGGTACGAATCATTAAAATGATAGTTCCACTGAAATTTAAAAGCAGTAGTGTATGCAACCAACAAAACGATAAATTTGTTAGGTGTATTACTGGTTGCATATGCAAACAAGGACAGTCAAATAGTAATTCGAAATTGTTTTGTGTAAATCATAATAGGTTTAATGGTTTATAAATTTTAAATAAGAAACTTAGTAAAACATTAATACTAAAAAGACCAAACAAAAAATTTATTGTTAAAATCAATAGCCCAATTTGTCATTCAACGACGTTCGCCCGTCCCCAGACTGCCCACTCGGGGGCACCCACATATTATAATCCTCTTTGTGGGCATCTTCATCATAGCCCTTTTTCTTTTCAATTTCTGCTCGTTCTTGTTTCTGTTGTATGCGTCTTTGGTTTTTTCTTTTCTTCTTTTCGTTCACATTTACTTCTTTTTGATCAGCTATTTGTTCCTTTTCTGCAATAACACTGTCTTCCTTTTCTTGTTCTCTTTTTGGTTCTTCCTCTTCTTCTTCTTCATCATCACCATCATCAACAATCATCGGTTCACTCTTACTAACCACTTGCACTTTAACCTTCTTGCGCTTCCCAAATATAGGTAAACTCTTCTTCTCGAGTTTAGTACTGTTTGAATTGGAGGCGTATTCAGGTACTAGAGGTGGTAAACTAGCCGGTTTTGCTATATTTACCAATTTTATAACATTTCCGTGTTCTTGTTTCAGTTTAATAAGCTCAGATTTGAGTTTATTCACACTTTGTTTGCTCGGTTTTGATTGTTTCAACTCCATCATAAAAGAGTCCAATGGATCGGCTTCAGTACTTGAGGTACCAACTGAAGCTAGGGACTTTTGACACTCTTCAAGCTCACATTCCAGTTTCCTGATACAATCACTGATTTCTTTCTCTTTCTCCATCTGAAACAAATGTAAACATTTTTTTTTATAAGAAATCAATATTTTGCTACTAACCAAACTCTCGTAAGTTTCTGCTTTTTGTGGTACTTTCGCCTTGATCCTCATTTCTCTCTTCTTTTCAATGGCACCAGTTCGGTCCAAAAACGTATCATCGTCACTGTCGTAGTAATCGTTTTCTTCCCAATTTTTCGGTTTCCGTTTCCGAGACTCTTAAATTTTTATACCCGAGCTGCTTAGCACCGAGGGAAGTAATAAAAAATACTACACTTACCATGTGTGGCTTGTCGCAACAAGCCATGTCGATCTAGTATCCTACAAGCTTCCAAAGCACACTGAACCACCGCTTCCTTCTTCTTGCCCTTGTGAAAAACTTCAGCGAAAATGGGACGTCCCATTTCATCGTCAATTGGAAGCTCAACTTTGCAAAGAAACTGTCCCATTCCCTGTTCCGTGCAATCATATTCAAGATCTAAGCCTTCTCTTTCGAAGAAACCACGCAATGCCTTTTTGGGATTCTCAAGATACAAATCTTCGTTGTTAGTTTGCGCGAAGGGATTTTCAGATAAGTCGGTTTCTTCATCTGCGTCTTCGCCTAATCCCCAATCGATGCCTTTTTCTTCCTGTTTTCTTGCTCTTTCTTCTTCTTCTAATTTTTCTAATTCGCGTTGACGGATTTGTTCTTCTCTTTTGTGCTTCAATTCGGTTACGGTTAAAGCCGATTCATCCTCGGTGTCGTGTTCGGGACCGGTTAAAATATACGAGCGGGTACTGCAGCCCAGCTTTAACATGTGGCCAACCTAAGGGAAATTTATTTTGGTACAGAAGGGGAATTTAATCGAATTATTTGGAATTTGTTTGAGATTACTTGTGAATTACTCGAATATTTCTGGGATTCTTTTTGGAATTATCGGAGACTATTTCCCTCATAAAATTTAGACCAATCAAATCTTTCAAATTTCTAAGATTCATCAAATCAAAAAATAATAAAAGCTGGGAAAAAATCATGAAATTGGCAACACTGTCTGAAGATAATGTTTTTTGCTAAAACTTTAGAACGATTTGGACTTTTCCGTGGAACTTACTCAAATTCGCTACAAAGAAATTTTAATTTTTTTATTCGTTTGCTTCTTTATTTTATACAGGGTGCGTCAGAACTCGCGCCCCAAAGAAAAATTTCAACTAAGATAAGATACCAGGAACATGGAAAAAATGTTTAAAAAATTCTATCTGTCAAAAAATTTTGACATTTGTCATTTTTTAATGACTATTTAATGATACTGATGATCTTGTACATGTTTCTTTACAATTATTTAGTAAAGGTACAAAAATTTTGCCAATAACAGCCACAAATAACATTGAACAGATTTACAATTTAGGATACAGTTTCCTTGTTTCCTCTTCTAAATAACCTGTAGCAAAAAATCTTGTAAAATTATTTTTCCAACAGAAATAAATAGAGTCAAAGTGCAAAATTTAAACTCTCATAACATTGGAATTTTTATAGATAATTTTTTTTAAAGATTTTTTCCATGTTCCTGGTATCTTACCTTATATGGCATTTTTATCTAGGGCGCGAATTCTGGTGCACCTGTATGTAATAAAATAATGCGCTAGGATAATTACAATTGACTAATTAAATAATGCGGTATTTCATAGAATAATTAATGATTTTTTTAGAATGGTTTTGTTATTTTGTATTTAATTAGTTATGGAATAAAAAATAGACGAAAATCATTTTTGGGGAATTACAAAAAGTTTCAGAAGTTAAAAACTAATACAAAAGTTAAATGTTAAAAATATATTCTCTTAAATAAGAAAAATAAACAAGAATGAACATAAATTTTTACATTTTTTGGTATAAAAAATAAATTAATCGTGTTCCTGGGCAAAGCATGTCGTTTTATCTTACAATAGGAAAGAATTAAGTGAGAGTTTGTAAGACTCCGATTCTAATATTTTTTCATGTTCATGTTAATTTTTTTTGTAATAATAGTTATTTATTATACAAGACGATAAAGAAATTGTAAAAAGTAAAAGTAAAAATTTCTTGAATATAAACAGTAAATAAAAATTACTTTATTTCATTAGACGATAAAAGACTACTCTATCTACTGAAATTAGTTGATAAAAAACAAACAGTAAATAAAAATTACTTTATTTCACAAGACGATAAAAGACCACTTTATCTACTGAAATTAGAATTAGCATAAAAGCACTCTTTAACACTGAGTACAAAATAAAGAATGTTTTTTATAGAATTTTATTGAATTTGAGGGCAATTAAGGGTCCACTGTTCGCTTTCAACAAGAAATTTGTAATCTGCGAAATTAATTTTGCTTTAAAATTTTTAATTCACGTTAAATAATAGCAAAATTTGGCTTTTAAATCAACGTAATAATGTTGTGTAAACTCGGCTTCTGATATAATGTTCGACTATAGCGCCATCTGACTACTTCTCTCCAATTTGTGACAAAGATAGAGCTATCTCAGGTCGAATAAGAGAAGAGTGAGAGGGATAGTGCGGAAACTGGCGGGAAATTTAAATGTGGTCAACATGTTTACACCGAAAATATGATAAAAACCACAGAATTCAAAGATAAAATCTTGATGTTTTAAGTTGTTTTGCATCTAGAAATTAATTTTTGATAACCTTTTTGATAAAAGTACATTATTTAGTGCAAAGTTCGGAAACTAAGTATTCAGTTCTCTTACATGATTTAAAAACGTTAAAACAAATAATCCAAACTGTACGTAAGTATGGGTTTGGGCAATTTACGTGCTTATCTGTAATATTTAAGTATTAAAAATGAGGGTTATTTTTTATTTACTACTTGTCAAAACGGTTTATGCCGGCACCAAAGTAACCGTTGGAATATTAACCCAAGAAATATCACCAACTTTGCAGAAATGTATTCGCCAGGATGCTAAACATACAGATGATTACACTGCTTTTATTGTCTCGTCTTATGTAAAATTCGTAGAAAGTAGTGGGGCACGAGTTATTCCAATAAAATTGGACAAAAATGAGCCCTATTATGAGCATATTATAGGCAATGTTAGTGGATTATTGATACCGGGTGGAGTATCAAAGTTAGAAACTGGCTCCTTCTATGAGGCTTTAAAAGTGTTATATAAAATAATAGTAAGGAAAAATGAAGCAGGAGACTATTTTCCAATTTTAGGAATATGTCTCGGGATGGAAGGTTTAGTCATGGTAGCCAACAAAAATGTAAATATCCGAAAACATTGCAGAGCTGAAAACATTTTATTGGATATTAACGTCACTTCCAGCAAAAATAGCAAAATGTTCAAGAATATCGAAACAATCAAAAACGATCTAAAAAAAGTTGCACCTCACTTTCACAATTATTGTATTTTAAAAGAAGATTTGTCTCAAAGAAATTGGCTTGTAACTAGTGAAAATTTTGATGAAGAAGACAATTTGTTTGTTGCATCGTTGGAACATAAAAAATATCCCTTCTATGGGCTTCAGTTTCATCCAGAGAAAAACGCATTCGAGTGGAAAAACGACTTGAATTTAAACAAGTCTCCCAGTGGAATACGCGCATCGAGATATTTCGGAGATTTTTTCATCGAAGAATGTAGAAAAAACGATAATGTATTACAAGACAACAAATTTCTTTTTATTAATAGATACGACCAAATACCGACTGGTAAATATGGATGCGCATTTGACTCAGTTTATGTTTTCGAATAGTTTGGATTCGAAATTTGTAACGTTTTGACATTAAACATTTATCCTGGCTGTGTTTTTGTTTTTACCAAGGGGCTGTTGACTTAATTCAGGTAATTCCAAAATAATTCCTGTAATTCCACATTCATTCCGATGATTCTGAGAAACTCGACTTATCTTTAAGACGAAGCCCCGAATCTTATTTTTTTCCAAATTTGGATTACTAATGTGAATCTCTAGACACGCGGCAGTGTTGCCAACTTGGTGATTTTTCTCAATTTCTAGTAATTTTGGGAAAAGATCTGGGATTAATTTTTATTTTAATTTTTTTTAGAGACATATTTTGTTATTGTGTTACTTGTTTAAAGAAAAACCGAATGAGTGGCAATTTTTTTAAGGAAATTGAAATCAATAAAAAAATCAACAAGTTTTATTACTGTCGACACGCGGCATTGATCAAACGTTTCCTCAACAACAAAACTCACAAAAGTCATTCCATATTCGTGACACACAATCAAAATTTCTCAAATATGGATACAACAGCTAGTAAAAAGCAAGTAAAAGACCAAAAAAACACTTTTACGCGTTCTGATAAGAAACCATCACAAACAAGTGAAGATGCCTCATTCCAACGTCTGCGAAACTTATTTCTAAAAACAGAAGAAATGAAGCAGGAATCACAAGAACGAAACGAACAAATGGAGAACCAATTCAAAGAGTTGCAAGACAGGCTTACCAACAGTTCGGGATATTTGAACCAAATCAAGAAGAGCATTGAAAATATCAAATTCTCGTATCAGAGAGACATCAACGACTTGGAGAAAGTAACAGAAGAAAATCGAGAAGATATTGACAGACAAATCGAGGAAATTCGGGCACATATTGGGAAACTACAAGGCACTGTCAAGGGGGAAAAACACAAACCGCAGACGTATCAAGAAGCACTCAATGACGTCATTTCAACTTTCCAAAATATCGCTCAGGGGAAGTACTCGACACGCACTATGGACTAACTTACTTACACGCATCCGCACGTAATTTCTTGGTTTGAGTCGATTTTTGTTCAAAAAAGTGCCGTGTGTGCTTTCTAAATCGTAAATGTAGAAACCCGAATTGGTGGCGTCTTTCTCGTCCTTTCTGTATTGTAAAACAGCATGATATCTGTAACACAAATGTAATAAAAATTCAAAAATATTATTTCCCAACCACGGGATGTAATGACTAGGAATGAATTTACCTAGAAATGGTGGGATGTTGCATGCAAATATCACAACTTGTTAGCCGCCCAAACGTCCAAAACGGCTTTTTCATCACATTTACGGTCTCAATAATGGAACCGTTTTTTAATACTTCCAAAATATAGTCATGTGAGGCCGATTCGGGTAAAGATGAGCAGTTGGGTTCTTCATAGGGCAATGATTTAACTTCGGGCTTCTTATTCTCGACTGGTTGATGCACAGGGGGGACGTTTGAGTCTAAAAATGAGTCAATTTCTTGTCAATCAACTTGGCAACGCTGGATTTTAGGTGACTGTCAATGTCGCCAACTTAATTTCAGAGTCAGAGGCCACTGTATTGTACCTGGTTCTGTTTTTTCATTTATGCATTGTTTTTCTTCCACTTTACTTGGAACTGATTCCACATTTTGTAACCTTTTTGGGAATTTTCCGATTTTTCCCACCAACATTGGTTTTTTGAAGGAGGTTTCTGGGGCATTTTCTTGCTTCAAAGAGTCGTTTTCCATCGTGTTTGTTTGGGTTAAATGTGAGGTTAGGGTTAGAATACTTCACATTAGAATACTAAATTATTAAGCTCAGAAACAAACTTGTCATTTCTGAAACTAAAATATTACTTTTGATTCGTTAAATAGGAAAAAAATAATAATATTACATTTTTTCTTAACAAATGTCAATAAATAACGTTGACTTTTAGAACAATGATTCAACATGTTCGGCAATTGTCGTTGAATAATTTTCGGATTTTCACCTTCCAACGATCATTAACGAACATGTTCATTTTGTCGAGATGATGTATGCAACCAATTATACAGATACGTGAATGCTGAACTAGTTAAATCTTTATTTATTTTTTACAATGTTATAAAGTGATTTATTTTATTTTGCTGAAACGAATTAAATTGACTAGCATTACAATCATCGCATACGATAGGTTCAAACCAAATTGATGACATGTTGATAATAGTAGATTACATACTGAGATGGCAAAATATGACATATGACAGTAAAAAAAACTAAAAAAAACTTGCAACCTAAAACTTATTAACTAATACATTACAAAAATAATAAAGTAGACACAAGATGCAAATACTTGTTTCATATTTTAAACCTACATATTACAGCACTGTTTCGCTACAATCAGATTGTATTGATCCATAATTGTCACTGCTTCACGTTTGAAATACTGCATAACATCAAAATTTTAGTTATAAAACAATTCAAAATCAAAATTGACGACAAAAAGAAGACTTTAACTTGAAAAATACTTTGTTTTCGCTGCAATTGCACAGTTAGGTGTGTTCGTCCACTGACGTCACCATATAACCATCTTACTCGTTCTTTAGTGTCTCTCACTCCAAGTTACCAGGCAACCTTCTTACTTTATAAATCTAGGTTTGAATAGACTCTTTATTATCTAAAATTGATTATTACCTTGCAATAACTTTGCAAACCATTGCAAATGTTTTACGTTTTATTTAGGATTTTAAGAAGTATTTTTTTTAATGTGCCGCTTTATAATATGTACTTAACAAGTTATCAATTACATTGGCCACATTTTTGTTTCATGTTTGAAGCAGAGCGGCAAAAATCCAAATTCAAGCCAATTTGAGCTACAAACATTTATAATATCCCTGTACATATTGTCATTGTCTGATTATTTTGAGTATAGTATTGTTAGATTTTATATTAAAAAAAACACCTTCTGGTATATGACATAATTTCATAAAAAAGTTGTTACTAAATAAGAAAAAAAATCATCGTTGTGTTTTTTATTTTCTCTTTGTGTTACTGAATTATAATTTGTATTTTATGGTTTTCTAATCATGTGTTTTCAGTTTTTTGACTCTGTTAACGGTTTTTTATATTTTCTTTTCATTTTTTGTTTTCTAGTTATACAGATTGCGCCAGAACTCGCGCCCCAGAGAAAAATTATACGAAGAATATGGAAAAAATTCTGTCTATAAAAATTTCGAAGTTACGAGAGTTTAAATTTTGCACTTTAACTCTATTTATTACTTTTGGAAAAGTAATTTTCCAAGTTTTTCTGCTACAGGCTATTAGAAGAAGAAACGATAAGGAAGTTGTAATTGTGGTTTTTATCGGCAAATTTTTTGTACTTTTACAAAAACAACAAATACAAGTCGTCAGTATCATTAAATAGACATAAAAATTTTAAATGTAAAAAACTTTTGAGAGATATTTTTTAAGCATTTTTTTCATGTTCCTGGTATCTTATCTTACTTGAAATTTTTGAATTTGATAAATTTGTTTCGAAGATAGAACTTTGTCAATTTTATCAACTTTTTATTTTATTGGATTATGCAACCAATTATACAGAACCATTAAATTTAAAGATGAAAATATTTTGTGTTTCCACAATTAGGAAAAGTGTAAAAGGCATCAATACAAATTAATAACAATATATATTATAAGTACAGTAAAAATATGCATCAAATATATTTTTTTTTCAATACAGTCTTAGATTATGAAGTTCCCATTCTTTGTTTAAGTTTCCTCAAAAACTCCTTGGCTTGTTTATCACCTAACCGACTTTCTAGGGCCTTGATCGCTTCGGTATCTAAAAAAAAAACACAAATATTCGAACTATGTTAAATAAACTTGTCACTAACTCAAATCAGTTGGTCTTGACAAAGCTAACTGAATTTGTGGTAAATCATCAATTGGAGTACTCGACGAGTCAATGTCTTTAAAATGCAGAAACGCCTCACCAATATATTGGTTATTATAACCCAACATATCTTTATCCTTGACACTGAAAAGCACCAGTCCATTTTCCACATCCTTGTAATCAGGCGGTAACTCACTGAAAAAAAATGTAATAAAAAAAAACAACATGAACAACAATTTCGTACACAACAAAGTTTTCGTCATACAAAGGAAATAAATTCTTGTAATGCGTTTGCGTTTTCGGTTTGGGAATCCCACTAAACTTGTGTTCGGGTAAAAGATGTATCCTCACAAATGAGTCACTATAACCATTCGAATCCATCGCAAATAAATTTCTCGCGTTCATTACAACGACTTTGAGACTTTTATTCTCGAATTTGGCTTTCACAGACAACACTCCGTATTTCGATTCTTTGACATTTCGAAATTCCTCGTACAAATTCAGATGAACTAAATGGATCAAGTCGTTGGTTTCAAGCCCATTCACTTTCAGTTTCAATTCAGTTTTCTTCAATTCGTCACAAGTGAAATCACTCGAAGTTTTGAATGACCCAAGCATGAGGTTCAAGGTTTTGTGAAGATTGGCAAAGAACGACGGTGGTCGTCTTTTCTCCAAATTCGATTGAATTATTTCCTTCAAAATTGTGTCTAAATTATCCCAAACAATTTCCAAAACTCGGTTAAAATTCTCTTCGTTAAGCTCGTTATGTAAAGTCGATAAATTGTTATCTACGTATCGCATGAGTCTATCAATGCTGTTGCTATCTTGATTGAAGAGTTCTGCGCCTTCGATTAAAAGTCGTTTCATGGCTGGCACCATCTGAAAAAAAAATTATTAAAAAAAGTTCCAAAAAAAATTGAGCAAACCTTTTTGACCACTGTTTCTAGGAGGGCGATAATCTCATTTCGCACGGTATCTATGGCATTTGCTATGACCGTAGTTAGCGTATCTTGACATCTTTTTGCCTCTATTGCACTTTTCAAGTCGCCTAATTTTTCAATGACTTTTTCCATATCAAGTTCTTCCGTAAAAGGTTGCAGGGATTGTCTCACATATTCGATGTTGTTGATGGCCAAACACCACTCATTGGTTACTTCGAATTTCTTCTCGTCTTTTTCAACATCCATTCCGTCCACTCGCATTGACATTCTTTCGGCGTAAAAGACACAACAACGACAAATATCCTAAAAAACGTATTTCATAAAGAAAGGACATTTTTGAAACACCCTGTATAATTAAGTCAGTCTAACGAGAGAATTATAAAGTTAATGTTTGTTAAGTTGTAGCACTGTAACTTTTTTAATTTACGAAAAAAATTTTTTTTACATTAAATATTTTCTGGGTTGACATTACAATTTTAATTATACCAAACTTAAAAAAAAAAACATCTTTCAATTTTTATTAAAATATAAAATTCGGAGATTACAAAAATTCTTCAAATTCGAAGTGGGGTTTCATTTTTTTAAGGGGAAGATAAAAGTTTCAATGTCGAACAAGAAAAAAATTAATACATTTTAATTCGTGGGTTTGACTTTGACATTTTTACCTTCTTCTTAAATTTAGAGAGTCGGTAGCTAATTTCCAAAGCTATACTCTGGCAAAAAATTATTAAAATCCATTTTTTTTATGATTTTTTTTTTAATTACTTAATAGAAATTTATTTACGAAAATTACACGAATTGTGCTCAAAACCCAAGTTTATAATGTGCCAAAAGAGCAAATATTAGACATAATCGTTCCATTTTGAAAATTTGTTTTTTTTTTATTTTGTGGACTTAAAAAAAGACAAATTTTGGTGTTAGCCTTTCGCCTGCTGCATTTTTGGTTTTCAAATAGAAAATCTAAAATCAAATAACGAAAATATCCCATATTTAATACTTATTTTAAATTCAAGCGATTAAAAAAATATTTTTTTGCGATTGTATTAATGAATTAAAAAAAATTAGAGAGTCGATAGCTAATGACCGAAATTACGATGTGTCAAAACCGCATCAAACGCCAGGTTTAACTTGCCACAATACTATTTAATTTTTTAGCATTTTTAATCAGCAAAAATAATAATGGATTTATTTATGAAAACTGTAAAAATTGTAGCTAAGACCCGAGTCTACAAGGTACCAAAAAAGCAAAACGTTGCAATTGTCCCATTTCGAAAATAAAAATTTTTGACATTGAGCATTTGACTACTTCGACTTGACTTAAAAAATAGGGCAAATTTTGAAATGAACTCGCCTCGACTACTGCACCTCTGGTTTTCAGATAACAAAAAAATCGACAAAATGTACCAAACAAGATTAAAACGCAACTTCTGCAATGCATTTTTTTAAATTTAAATCAGTGCAATTACAGGTGTACTATTTTTTTTAAAATTATTTAATAGATATTTGTACCAAAAATTTCCCAGATTAGGAAAAAAGAGCAAACACTGCAATCGTCTCATTTCCAAAATACTAATTTTAAAAATTGAACATTTGATTTGTATGAAAACGAAGCAAATTTTAGAGTGAACCCACCTCGCCTATTGTATGTCTGGTTTTCAAAAAAAGTGAAATCAAAAATTAGTGCAATATTTTTTTAAAAAACTTAAATAAAAAAAAATTAATAATTTTTGATAATTTTTAAATCAAATAGGTAACAACAAGACAAAAAGACCCTCTGTATAAATATTTTTTTTTGCAAGGATGGTACTTTTTGTTTTTGTTTTACTTTTGTTTTGTTTTCTTAATATTGCAAAAAATTGCACCACATTTCTACATCGAAAAGTAGCAATAATTTGTCAAATAAACCATAGTCCTATAAAGCTTCGTTACGGATATACAAGGTGATAAAGTTTTATCTTATTTTTTTTTTAAACAATAGCAAGACAAATTAGTTGTTCCAATGAAAAAATAAGCAATACACACGTTTTTAAAAATCTCAGGAAATATACAGGGTGTTTTCTCAAAATCGTAAAGATTTGCAACCACATATTGTACATCGAAAAATAACACTAATTTGTCAAATAACGATAGCCCTAAAAAGCTTCAATACGGAAATACAGGGTGATGAAGTTTAAAAATTCTTATTAAATAACTGATAAAACATTTGTTTAAAATTGTTATTAATATGTATATATCAACTTAATTGTTCCAATGAAAAAATAAGCAATACACACGATTTTAAAGATCTCAAGAAATATACAGGGTGTTTTCTCAAAATCGTAAAGATTTGCAACCACATACTGTACATCGAAAAATAATACTGATTTGTCAAATAACGATAGCCCTAAAAAGCTTCAATACGGAAATACAGGGTGATGAAGTTTAAAAATTCTTTTTAAATAACTGATAAAACATTTGTTTAAAATTGTTATTAATATGTATATATCAAATTAATTGTTCCAATGAAAAAATAAGCAATACGCACATTTTGAAAATCTCCAAAAATATACAGGGTGTTTTCTCAAAATCGTAAAAATTGCAACCACAAATTCTACATCAAAAAATAACACTATTTCGTTACGGATGTGATGATGTTTCACGATTAAAATAAAAATCTATTAGTTTCTCCAAAATCCCTTGAGTTATTTTCATAAAATTTTCCAGGCTTTGTGAGATTGGAATTATTTTTTACTGGTGTTATTTTTTGACACCATTTCACTCACATCAATTATTTTGGCAATGAACGTGTAGCAGCCTTCGACATCCGGCCAGTTGAGCTGTTGCCAAAATACTTTCACCTACAAACAAACCCTGAAACGCTGTTTTTCAAACAACAAAATACCCACTTGATAGAAAATCGAAATCGTGTCGACGGCTGAAGAACTATACCTAACCGTGGTGTCCACTGGCACTAATTTATCCAATTCGACGGCTTTTTCGATACGCTGAAGGGCTTTAAACACGGCAATATCAAGCCATTGAGCAACGCCGCCATGAAACCATTGATAAAAATTCCGAATATGAAATGAATCCGAATCTGTCTGGCATAAACCTTTGCCAAGTGCAACAAATCGGTGGAGAGCTAAATAGAGTTCGAACAAGGTCGTGCCTTCTTTCAGCGATTCGTTTGATTCGGTTTCGTTTGTTGTGAATCCGGTGAAGGAAAGCTTTTTGAGGGATTTGCAAATGTTGCGGACGTCGGGCTCGGCGAGAGCTGAGATTTTTGCTTGGTAGAAGACGTACAAAGCTTTGGCGTATTGGAAATTTATCGTTCTGGAAAAAATAAAAAACACCATAAACAAAGCTCCTCTGAAAGGTACTGAAACAAGGGACACGCAACAAAAAAAAAACTATTTTTTTGTCTAAAATTTACTTTTAGTTTATTATGTTATTTCATTAATTTCGGGTAAAAAATGGTTAATGTCGAAAAAACTGCAAAACTTTGGTTATTTTTGAATTAAGTAGGAATTTTCTGTTTATCGTAGGGCACTGATGATTAAATTTGCTTTCCAACAAACCTAATCACAAAAAGCTAGCGCCAATAATTCCGGAGTTACTAATAAACTACTCTAGTACCAAAAATCGAGCAAATCTCGATAAAAATCAAAAAAATATAAAATGTTCCTAGAATTGGCGTCAAGAAATCTGCAAAATTCGTAATGGTTTTGAAGTTTTAGTCGAATTTATATTTTCGATATTTTTGATTTTACAATCAGATTTTCTCAATAACTATACAGGATGTTCCATTTTTATTGTTACAAATTTAACCAGATGATAGAATATTCAATTTTAAGGTAAAAGTTTCCTATAAACATACAGGGTTATTCATAAATATGAAGCAATATTTGAACCTCAAAAATGACCTATAAAATGATGTTAATTGAAATAATAACTCGTGTCCTACCTCTACTGATAAGAATTTTACAGCCCTCGGAATGTGGGTATGGAAATTTGATTTTTTTGTAATAACTTTGGAACTATTTTACCAAATATTATAAAATTTGGAACATTTCCTTGTGACAACATACCTTTTGAACTGGTAATCAAGAAAACCGGATACATCCACTCAATTTCCGATTCCAGCAGTTGCAGGTCATATTTTCTGTGTTTTTCCATTTTTTTGCTCTCTTTACACCAATTTTTTATTGCCCAAATAGATAGAGTAATCAATTTCAAATAAAAAACGCATAACCTTTAATAGCCTTAAAATGGACCGTTTCAAAGATATTTTAATTTAAACTGAGGACTGCACAACGCTGAAATCAAAAAATAGGGATTTTGAATAAATGATATCCACGGCAACAAATGACCATGGTCCCACAAATCGCTGTCAGGCATCTGTCAACTTTGACAATGGACGTTTCTTGGGCGATTAATTGAAAATATTTAATAAAAGAGTTTACTTCAGACTCCAAACGTAATCTACAATAAATCCAAATCGATCTCGTAGCATTTAATTTATAAAAAATTCACAAAAATTTATGGTCAAAGTTAACAGATGCCTGGTAGGGATTTTTGTGACCATGGTCATTGGTTGCCGTGGATACCACTTATTCAAAATCCCTATTTTTTTATTTCAGCGTTGTGCAGTCCTCAGTTTAAATTAAAATATCTTTCAAACGGTCCATTTTAGAGGTATTAAAGGTTATGCGTTTTTTATTCGAAATTGATTACTCTATCGATTTGGGCAATAAAAAATTGGTGTTAAGAGAGCAAAAAAATGGAAAAATACAGAAAATGTGACCTGCAACTGCTGGAACCGGAAATTGAGTGGATGTATGTTTTCGTGATTACCAGTTCAAAAGGTATGTTATCACAAGGAAATGTTCCAAATTTTATAATATTTGGTCAAATAGTTCCAAAGTTATTACAAAAAAATCAAATTTCCATACCCACATTCCGAGGGCTGTAAAATTCTTATCAGTAGAGATAGGACACGAGTTATTATTTAAATTAACATCATTTTATAGGTCATTTTAGAGGGTCAAATATTGCTTCATATTTATGAATAACCCTGTATATCGAAAAATTTTATATACGGGAGCCACATCCCCTGCTGAAAGGGCATCTTTTAATGGATTTTTTCCAATATTTCAGAAAGCATCGTAGATAAAATTACAAAATTTGGTACAACTGATAACCTTTATACACCCAAATGAATTCAAATATAAAATGTCGAAATTTTTACTCAGGGGTGTCCTAAACTGGGGGCTTTAGGGTAAAAAGGGCCCTAACTACATTGGCGATTGGTTTTTGCCACTTTCAGACACTAAATTCTAAATTTCAGAGTTTTCACAAAAAGAGGTCTCTTGCGTTTTTTCGATAAAACTTACCGTTTTTGAGTAAAATCAGTTTACAATTTGTCTTACAGACCATAAAGAGGATAAAAATTAAAAATTAAATTTGTTTCACCGTTTAAGAGACTCGGGGTTAAAAAAATTCCACAACTGATCTTTAATTCGTTCAAGTGTTTAAAAGTAATCAGCTGTACCAACTCTCGTAATTTTATCTATTCTACAATAGTGGGAAAACCCCATTAAAAACGCATCTCTTTCAGGGGGTGTAGCTCGCTTACGTAACATTTTTTCATACATGTTCATAGGAAACTTTTGTCTTAAAATTGAATAATTTATCACCTGTTTAAGTTTGTAACAATAAAAACGGAACACCCTGTATATTGTAAAACACTGATCTTTTTTGTATATGATAAAAAATTAAATTTGATAATTTAAAGTAGATTCTACTGTTTTTTAGCTTTTTGCTCTAAATCTTATAGTTTCTGAGAAAAACCCATTTAAAGTAAAATTTTGAAAACTTCGTACTTTTTGAATAACGATTACGGCCAAACCATTAGATTTAAAGCAAAAACTCAATCCCATCGTTCAAAGTGTGGACACACACTTTGAAGTAAATAATTTTTTTTTATAGCAGATGTTAAACTATTTCTTTATCAACTCGTTTGAGTAGATAAAGTAGCACTTTAACAGCAAGGGTAGATAAAATGTTTTAACTTATTTTGTTCATTTAAATTTACAAATTTTATTATCCACGAGGTGAAATAAAGCGTTCGATTTACACTCAAACAAGTTGAATTAGACTCAACAAGGCTTAAACTTGCTTTAAATCTGTTAAAAATAATCTGACGTTTCGTATTGAGAAATGTCAAAAATTGTAATTTTTTTAAATTTTATTTTTTCTATTAAACTCAAAGTCCTGCTATAAAAAAATGTTGTATTATACACGACGATAAAGATATAAATAACTGTTTTTCTAATTTAAATGAATTTAAAATATTTTAACTTCAAAAAATCATTTTTCTTCAAATAAAGACCATTCTAAAGGGATGGACTTGCCCTTTAGAATGATATGTAATTTGAAATTGAATATTTGCGAACTTTTCTTCGAACAGTGTTCGAATAAATCAAAATAATCTAAGAAAAACCCTACGAGTAATTTTTTTTTCATCATCACCATCGTGTAGAGCATCTCTTTATTAGTTGAGATCCAAATTTATAAATGAATATACCAAGAAATTTTCAAGATATGATTTTTTGAAGTTAAGGTTTGCTAATCATACAATGCGCCATAAAGGAGAAATGTATGTTACCTAATGTTACTTAAACTTGCATTTTTATTGGTGCTATAGTTACACCACCTACGTTTTTTGAAGTTTCAGCACTTTTAAAACAGCAAACAGCCTGTATATATTATACCAGCCGGCATAATTTGTCAAGTTGTCACGACATGACTTTTTTTGTCGCCCTGTGTAATTTAAAATCACAAAAAAACTTACTGTTGGAAAAGCTTGTCGTAGAACTCTAGTGCTTTTTGTAGATCGCTTTTAACCAATTGAATCGCTTGAATCAAATACTGCAAACGTCCCACATCGCTGTCACTTTGCTGAACATTATTCTCCATAATATGATTAAACCAATCATCGGCTCCTTGTTGAACAGCATCATCAACAACAGTCAAAATATCACGTTTCGTTTCTTCACTAAACGTCACCCACGAATACATATTATTGGGAAACAAATCAACATCATCCGGTATTCCCAACATTTTAATATTTCCCAAAATTTTCAAAACTTCGGTCAATTGTTGCATCGTCATTTTATCCTTAAAATCCCTCTTTCGGATTTTTCTAATAACTGAAAAACACGACGGGAGGAGTTTCTTCGCCCCGTCCCAGAATATCTTCAAATCTTCATCGTTGCTCCCCCCCTGAAGCGGTTTCAGCAACTTTTCCAGCAGTTTCCCGAAAAGACTGAAACTGAGTGCGTGGTTTTGGTGAACGGAAGTGTAAACCGCCCATTGGCACAGCGCCACTTCCGGTGGCGTGAGCCCCGATTGGGCTATGTGCTGGGTTAGCAGGGCTTCGCCCTGGGGACTGAACGTCCCGCACCACCAGAATTGGGCCACTTTGGACAACTCCAGTTCGTGCAAAAGGACGATTCGCAACATGTGTCTGTGTTCTTGGGCGGCGACTTGGCGGTTTTTCTCCGAACTGAAGGAAATTCGGACTTTGATGACGCCTTGACGCGTCGCTTTGTTCTTCTTGTCGAGGCTGTACCACATGGTGAGGCCCGAGGCCGGGATTGAGTTGAGGGGGATTTTGGACACGCCGATGAGTTCGTTCTCGTGTTGGCCGGTGGCGGCCGCCACGGCGATTTCCTTCACGAATTTTCGCATGCCTTTGACGCCTTTCACGTCGAAGAAGCGACCGAATTTCTCCTTGACGGATTCGGCGGGGTCGAAGTCCCACACTTCGATGCAGAGGGTGTCGTCGAGGGAATTTTCAGAGATCGGTCTGAAAATAATGTAAACAAAAAGAAATTGAAAGACGTTTTCCATGTAGAGCTTTCAAAAAACATGATTTTTTCAGATATTTTAAACCTAAAAAGTAGCAAAGATAAAAAATATTTCGTTTAGTTGGGATTAAATCTAAAAATTTCGACTTCATTTTAATGGTTTCAAAAGTATAAACCTTCGACAAGAAAATTGCAATATAATCGAGGGTTAAATCGCAGAGGAAATCGGTTTACATAATTGGAATAATCAGAAGAAATCATATGGAAATCAGGAAACATTCTTAGTTTTTTTTTCATTTGCTGACAAATTAAGGGAACACTCGAAGAAATCGGGAAAAATCAAAGCAAATCGTGAGAAATTGAATTTAAGGGAAAATCGTATAAAAAATCAACGGAAATCAAAGCAAGAAAGAAAATCTGGTGTTAAAATTTGGGAAATCAAAGCAAATCATGAGAAATCATTGAAAAATGCAAATGCGTAAGTACTTTTTTCTTCATTTGTTTGCGAATTAAAAAAATCTTAATGAAAACAGGGAAAATTATCAGGAGAAATCAGAGGAAAACATGAGGAAATTAGGGAAAATCACTAGAAACTGTGGTCAAATTCTGTCAGATTCGAAAATGTTGTGTAGAATGTAGAAATTATACCTAGGGGAGATCGGTCTGAGAAAAATGTTACCCATTTATGACTTTCAAAGCTTTTTCTACATTTTAGATAATAAAAAGTAGCAAAAATAAAAAATATATATTTCGCAAAATTTCAACTTCATGTTTACTTTTAACAATTTTAATGATTTCAAAAATGTAAACCTTTGATAAGAAAACTAATCGCAATGAAAATCGATTTACAGAATTAAGAAATTCAGAAGAAATTTTTTCCATTTGCTGGCAAATTAAGAAAAATCATGAGGAAATCAAGGATAATCGTGAAAAAAATCACACTTCCAAACTCGGGAAAATCAGACAAAATTATAAGGAAATCAGAGGGAATAATGAAGAAATCATTGAAATTGGAAGTTGTTCTTTTCTTCATTTGCAAGCAAGGGAAAATCATAAAGAAATTAGAGGAAATCATGACGAAATCAAGGAAAATTTGGGGAAATCGGGGTTGCGAGGCGGGAAATCATTGAAAACTGCACTTGCGCAAATAGTTTTTTTCTTCATTTGCTGGCCAATAACAAGAAGTATTGAGGAAATCATGAATAAAGCATGAAGAAATCAGAAAGAGTCAAAGAAGATCATGGAAAAATCAGACAAAATTATAGGAAAATTAACGCAAATCTTAAAAAAAAAATAGATGTTAGAGTTTATTGATAAAGCATTTTTATGATAGAATCTGCAATTAATTTTTTCTTATAATTGAGATTTTTGGAAGTTTTGTAATCCACAAAAATTTTTCTTTGTTTTTCTCTCTTGTACCTTTTTCTTTCCAAATTTTTTGTTCGTTGTAGCTCTAAACTGTGTCCCTATTGTGTTCAACTTTTTGTATCCAGTTTGTTATACTTTTTTTCACTATTGTTGTCTTTTATTTTAGCTCATTTTTTGACAAATGCAACTTACATTATTTCAACTAGTTTGATTCTGATTTGGTCCTTTTTTTAAACCATTTAAAACGTTTCCAGGAATAAGAAAACATAGAAGAAATTTTAACAATACCCACATTAAAATTAAACCGAAAATTAAACGATTACATGATTACAATTTTTTTTCAGTTTTGTAGAGAATTCAATAGAATTTGTTTAGACTTTAGAAACCTTAAAAAGCTCCTCAAAATTCTGCTATACTTACTTCAAAAAACTAACACATCATCTGTTTTGTCAGTATTTTAACTTTTAACCCAAGTTTAAATTTTTTTATCCACATAAAATTTCCAGTTCTGACTTATTCATAATTTTCTCCTACTTAAATTTATAATTCGACGCTCTATAATTTGACTCTATTTTGCTCAATTTATCTTTCTTTTTTACATTTTTTTCATTAATTATTTTATTTTTATTTGCTACGGTTCTAATTTTTTATAAATAAGGCAATTTAGATTTTTTTTAGAGTGCCATTTCTGCGTTTTTAGTCCAGTTTTATACATTTTAGATAAAAACAGTGATATAAACAAAATTTTGGGCTAAATAAATGAGAAAAAAATATTTTTATTGTTATTTTTTTAAGGTGAAAATCAGAAAGTGCGAACGTTAAATGGTCAAATTTTCTCTTTTATCGAACAACAAAATCAGTTTATAAAAAATTGAAATAAAGCGTAGGATTGTGTTAAAAGGTAGAGAAAAACCATTATTGAGTGTAATTTTTTTCGCCGCTTTTCTCTCAAGTTTCTGCTTCACCATAATAACGTAATAAATTTCATCAAGAAGAAAATTGTAAACAAACAAATAACTTAATTTTTTAAATTCCCAGTTAGGAAAAAGCCGATATTTTATAAATAGGTAGTTATTAAACAAATTTTTGCGGAAATTTTTTGCTTTAAATGAAGTTAAACCGGACAAAACTGACGAATCGTTGTACAAATACAGGGTGTCCGGAAAGTCGCGCACCTCCTTGAAAGAGAGAAATTGGGTAGTTCCCCAGAGTACTAAAAAGATGTTTAAAAAATTTGACGTTTGACATATTTTTATGTCTATTTAATAATACTGATGATCTTGTATATGTTTTTTTTATAATTACTTCGTAAAGGTACAAAAATTTTGCCAATAAAAGCCTGTAGCAACAGAAATAAATAGAGTCGAAGTACAAAATTTAAACTTTCATAACTTCGATATTTTTATAGATGGATTTTTTCAACATTTTTCTTGTTGTCTAGGGCATGACTCGATGATACAGTGTCGCGGAGGTGCGCAACTTTCCGGACATTCTGTATGTGTTTCATAAAAACAAGTTTTCGATTTTTGGGAATTTGTAAATAAATTTTCAGTTTCAAAAAAAAAAGTTTTCAAAAAAAATTCTGGATACTTACAATGCGAAATGTTCTTCCCAGGTGGGCACCAAAGTCCCATACTTGACCGAGGTGTTATACCTATGCGACGTATTACTAGCTAAGTATAAAGTAACAAACGGATCGCTCAACCCGTTGGAATCCTTTGGTTTCAAATCTTTGGCTTCGATAACCTCGACATTGATCAAAAATTCAGGAGCCTCCTTTTTTTCAGCCTCCGACAATAGTTGATTATGTTTATTATTAGGAATTTTAAATGCATCTTGTGCGTACGAGATTAAGGCAGTCTGTCCTATCTCAACACTTACATCACAGCCAACATTATGTAAGATTTCGTACAAAATTTCAGCATACAACTCATCGATCTGAAAACAAAAACACCAATCACCCACCTGAAAATCTGAAACAAACTTACTGTCATGGACGCCAAATACATGCTTGTTTGTCGCCGCAATTCCTCTTTTTTAACACCTCTGAAATTATTTCGAGGCAGCGCTCGCGAGTTTAAACTGAATTGTGAAACGCTCGATTTCATTTTTTTTTATTTACGCCCCGAACAGATCGATAACAAACCCCATAGTCGACGATCGAAATAAATAAAGGGTGGTTTTGAGGTGCGATTGTTGCAGCGATGTGCACGGGTTTGGCACAGGGTAGCGACTAATCAAGTTTAACTTGTGCCAAATCTATTCTGGTCAAGTTGCGTGTCTGACATTAATATTTTGTATAGCGTAAAGAGAGCACTTCTATCAAGAAAAATCAATGAGATTTTAAAAAAAGACTGACGCGGGTTTGTATTGGAGCAGGCACGAGGGGGTACCTACTACTACATCAACATTCTTCAGTGATTCGTATTGAAGGTATTTTTAGACAAGTGCTTTTTTGGGTTTTGGATTTTTACAATTTAACCCGATTCGGGCATTCCTAGCACAACAAGCACGCAAAATTTATAATTAATATTAGTTCAAAAAAAAATAATTGTTTAGTGTTGAAAAACCGTAAAGTCAAGCAATGAGAAAGCTTGTTTTTTAAAAATAGAACCGCGAAATTAAAAAAATGCATGGCTACGTCATTACAAAATAATACAGAAAGAATTC